CCCTGTTGAATTCATTGCTTTATAACTCTCTTCCTTGGTTTCTTTTTAGTTGCTTTCTTCACGTCCGTCTCCAACTTGACTGTCTTTCTTCTTCGGCCGTAATGATACCAGTTACTTCCACCAGTCAATGGGTCAAATGGTCTTTCGTAAGGGTTTCCATACATTCCATAGGGACCATACGGAAGAACTACTGGTGGAGAAGAAACATTTTCTTTAGTTCCATCGAATCTATTTAAATGCATTGTTTCACCTTTCATCTGGTCATTAAAGTCTTTTGCGTGTTTTGCAAACTCATCGTCCTTTCCTAAAGCATTTTCTGACTCAGTCGCAACCAAATTGGATGCTTTATTTATGAGCCCTATTTTATTTAATCTTAACTTCTTTGCAACCCAGCCTCCAATCTTCCCTTTATTTGCATCTAATGTCTTCGAAACCCTTCCTCCACTCATTTTATTTACTGCGTCATAAGCTCCAAGTGCTTTTGCTCCAAATGCTAATGCTTTTGTTCCCATTGCGCCTAAAGCTGCCCAAGCTACCATTTACACCATATTAAAATCATCTCTCTTCAATATTATCTCATAAAAGTTCTCGTTACTGGAGAAAGTCAATGAAACATAAACGTTCTCACGGGCTTCGCCCTCACCGCTTTGCGGTCTATCTAACTTCTTTCTTATATCATCTATACGCTTCAAAATGTCTGAACAATTGCTAACATCTTCTACAACAGTTATTTCATCATGAATGACCTTCAAGAACAAGCTCATTTAATATGCATTAAAATCATCTCAATAATGAGTCCATCCTTTCCATCTTTAGGTAGCACAACATCTTTCATTGAAGAAGGTTCGACAAGTCTTATGTTAAACTTACTGACAAAGTTTGTTATACTATAATGCTTTGGCGGCGAATACATATAGTTTGAAAGACATAATATAGATTCTTCAGCAAATTCACTTATACTGGATTTTATAACAATGTTCTCACGAGACCAAATACCACCAATTGACAATCTTGTAAGCAATCCTGCTGAACCTTCTACTGTAAACGTCGATGGTAACATTCCACGAAGGTCATCTATTGACATCGTTGAGTCACTGTATTTAAAGATTTTCTTAAAGCAATCGTCATTATCTAACCATGCAATAGCTTTGAAGTTTTCATTCGAATATACATCTGCTTCATTAAATGTAAAACCTGACTTCTTTGCAGAGACGACTTTAAAATCTATTGAGTTTGTTTCAAAATTATATGCTATGGTAACTTCTGAAGGTAATGGATGTCCTTCCGCAGTCAGTTGTTCTCTCACTACCGTTTGAAGCTTTGTATTAAAAACTTTCATGTCATCTCCTGTGTCTAAGTTCACATACACAGCAACAGGGAAACTATCTTGCTTCTTTGTTTCATCATTATATCAAAACATTAAAGTTCTTCAATAATATTGTTCTTCCTGCTGGAATACTTCGAACCTGTCTGATTTCAATAGCTTTCTCACCTCCTACATACTCTACCCAGTGTCTTGGATATTCATAAGTATACTGACTTTCTTGAATTTTGGTTGGTTTCATCATAACATGTTCATAGTATATCTTTATACTCTTGTCAGTTAGACTCGGTGCTATGTTCTGAATATTTCTGACTTGCATTTTTAATGGAGATAAAATGAAGCATTTAATACATGACGTAGATGAAGACATGAATGAAACTACAGACAAACTTAACTCTTCTCTTATTCTTCCTTTCAGCAAAGATTATGAGTTCTGTTCAAATGGTGTGTATTTCTATTGTGGAAAGATGGGTTCAGGTAAGACATTTAACCTCATTCGTCATATACTCATAACAGAACGTTTAGGAAACGACTCTTACTATGACCAAATCATTATATCAGCAACTTCAGACTCTATGGACTCAACAGCGAAAACATTTATGTCAAAAGTTCAAGCCTCTGTCGTTAAAGTTCAGACAGTGAACTCATTGAATTTCTTCAACGTTACATTCGACGTAAGAGAAAATATTATGCCATCGTTGAATTTATACAGTCAGGAATGCAAAAGACTTCTGAGGAGATGGAAAGAATTATTGACAAACACCACTTACGTCAATACTCAGGAGTTTACGATATGAAACGACTTACAAACTACATTCTGTCAAAACTTTCAAAATACCCCTTCAAAAAGTATCCTTCAAACACTCTGCTCGTTTGTGACGACTTCGCCGGAAAAGGTTTAGTGTCAAAACCAGACTCACCATTAGCTAACATCATACTAAAGTCAGACATTACCATTTAACTGTAGCAATACTTATGCAAACATGGAGGTTTTTAGCTTTAAACATAAAACGTCTCATAACTGACTTCGTTATCTTTCAAGGTTTCTCACGTTATGATATTGAACTCATTTGGAAACAGTCAGGTATAACATTACCTTTTGAAGAAATTTGGGAAGCATATAAGTCTCTCATCTCTCCTCGTTCATACCTTGAGATTCATATCATGACTAATACCATTAAAGTCAAAAATATTCCATGGGAACGACCAACATTGTTTTAAAGTTTAACCTTCAATTGACTGATGGTAAACAAATTCCATGCATCTCTGTCGCCATTTCTGTTAATATTTTTGCTGTCATTCATATCATCCACTTCCCCATCCGTTAGCTTTTGAGGATATGCGTTAGAATAGCTGTTCTTAAATGAAGGCTTTTCACCTTTGAGAGCATAAACTCTATAACTTTCTGCATACTTTATGTTTGAACCTCCTGAGCCATCATTGACATAAATTTTTATAGGCTTCCACCCTTTGTTCATGTTCCTGCTTCTTCCCTTAGCTCTTTTGTTCAGTAGTTCTACATCTTTATACACAGCACCTGTCTCAGTGAATTCAACAATATTTTCATTCGTTAGCTTTACATTCAAACCCTTGTCGAGTATATTGTTCATTTCATACATATAAAAGGTTTTTATTCTATATGAAATGAGAAGCAAATCCATCTTAGCTGGTGCCGTTAATGTTCCAATTGAACCAACATCAAATGTTGACTCACGAACGACAAACAATATTGTCATAAAGAACTATAGTTCAGAGTGTTTGAAAGAAAAAGAACCAGAACTTAAGTCGGTGAATTTAAACTCAGCTTCAAACGCTAACGCTACATCAGATGTTAAGTTAGAGTATCCACCACTGGACCAAATTCTTTCAAGAGAAGCCAACGACAACCCTTACACAAATGTTCAAACAAATCCTTCAGATAACGTAGACCATTACCTTCTTCAGTTATACCAAACAATTTTACTCAAAGACGATAAGAAGCTTTTGACAAATCTTATAAGCAAGAACCAAATAATTCTAACAAAGGAGGACCTTGAAAATGTTATCTCACGAATAACAGGGAAACAATGTGTCATTGACTATCTCGACCCTGAAATCGAATGCTGTGGTCAAACTCCACCATTCATGAAAATAGGTAACATCCGCATCATTGAAACACCAGGAACTACAGGAGTTGAGTTTAAGTATAAATATTCGAACGAGTATACAAAACTTTAACAGAATATAAACTTTGTTTGAAATATGTTTTAGTAAATTAAAGCATTTGTATATCTATCCAAAACTTCTTCAACAGTATCGAACTCATCTTCATAATGCAAACCTAATCTTATTGACTTGGTGCAGTTTTCACTAACACAATATTTTTCTGTTCTCTTGACTGACATAACTAACTCATTTGTTTCATCAAACAGCAACAACCAAAGTTCATGACCTAATACATAACATTCATACTTTATATTTTTAGCTCTGAGTTCTCTTGTAAGCTGTTGCATTTAATATTTTCTAAAAAGTCAACTTCAACAGTCATTCGCACTGGTGCCTTCAGTTCTACAGGCTCTCCTTGAAAGTCAACAAGTCTGAATTGCATGTCTTTCAAATTATGAGGACTAATGCGAACCCATTTACCTAAATGAGTTGCTATGACAGGAACGTTTGGAATGAACATTGAATTTACTTCATAACAGAAAGACTTATATTCTACTGAACCTTTACTATTAACTCCTGAAATACCTGTGACATTAGCTATTTTTACTCAATGTACAAACAATTGCCATAACATACGTATGGAACAGATTTCATCTCAATCGTTTTGTCAACACTTTTCAAAGGAAATGTCATATGGTATGCACCCAAAAGAAGTTGTACTCTATGACTCATTCTTGGTATCTTAAACTCCTTCACATAACTGAACTTCAAACTCCTGCAATAAGTTTAACATTCATTAAGTTTTCTTCGTTATCCTTGTTTATTGTAGTATTTATGAGAGCATTTAACTCCACCTAATGTTTCCATCTTATATTCTACATTATTGTGAAATCTTATTTCGTGCTTCTTTCCATCTATTTCAATCTCCATGAAATCTGTTTCATCTGTTATAACGAATGAAGCGATAGTATTGAAGTCAACCATCTGAATGCAAGCGCCTCATTCTGTAGACCTAAGTTTGTTTGTAGCTTTACTGTCCCGTATTCGTTTGGGTCTGTCTTTGCAAATAGAACAACATTTTATTCTCATTAAAATATGAGTATAGCTGCATATGCGTATGAAGCTGATAGAGCTAACGTTTATATTTTGGTCAATACTCTCTCACACTTACTGACAAATATATTGTTATCACACTGATGGAAATACTGAGAAATACATAACATGGAAGGACTATGAAAAGTTTGACCCTATTTTAACTCCATGTACTATGCCATTCATTGTAAATGGTGAAATCGTCATGAAGAACGACACAACTGTTTATAGGTCTGTATATGAAGCTCTTGAAAGCATTCTTAACTTCAATCCTTCAGGGTTCGATACAAAAACAACTCCTTCGACAATGCCATTCATTGTAAATGGTGAAATTGTGTCAAAAAATAATGAAACAGTGTATAAGTCAGTGTATGAGGCGCTGAACTATATGCTTCATTTCAATCCTTCTGGTTTTGACCCACAAATAACTTCATGTACTATGCCATTCATTGTAAATGGTGAAATCGTCATGAAGAACGACACAACTGTCTCAAAGTCTGTTCGTGATATTTTAGACTACTTGCTTCATTTGGGTCCTACAGGATTTGACCCATATACAACTCAATGTCAAGTACCATTCATAAACGACTCAGCAGAAATAAAACTCAAAACGTCAACAGTAGATGAAGCAATTGCTGACTCATTGACAAAACTTCTTGATATAATAATGAGGTTCAATACATTCAAAACAACATATGAAACCTTTAAGAAAAATTATGACGATTTCTTTAAAATTACATACATCGAGCCTTCTGCTCCTCAAACACCAGACTATGCATGCCTTAAAATAAAGGCTGCACGGACACAAGTTAGAACATTGACTTTTGACGGAGATAATATCGTTAGAGACGTTACACCTGGAGACACATTACTTACGAAAGAATACTTAAAAAGTCATATCAGTGATTTTGTGAAAGTAGAACAAAGTGGAGCAGGTAAGAGTTGGTTAGGGTGGTTGTTTACTTTATTTTCATCAGGTGTAACAACTGCATCTCTTATAACCATGCAAAGTGAGATAGATGCACTCTGGGCTTTTCTTGGTGGCATAGATAGCATGAAGTTTTATGTTGAGTTTGCTAAATTACATGGAAATACAGGAAGTTTCTTTGACGGTCTCAAAAATTTATGGGGTAAAGTAACATATACAAAGAAACTAAATAACTAAATAAACTGGCAAAAACGTAAAAATATGTTCGACGGACTTGCTTACAACCCTCGTCTCGGAATTATTGAACCAATTAATTTACATCCTTTAATGGCAGCAAGAGATTTAGATGAAGGAGGACAAGTGGTTCAAACAATTGTTGAAAATCTACTGAATATATATCCTGAGTTTAAAGAAGTTTTAACAGCAACAAACACAACAATTCGTGAAAACTGTATAGTGTTTAACACTGAAGATAATATTTTAGACTATATGTTCGTTGTTTTAGGTCAGTTAGCTAAGACAATAAAAGAGAAAGGTATTGACTCAGTCATAACAGTTGAAGATGTAATGTTAAGAAAGACTTTTGACTCATTGTTTCAAGAACCAAAAGAAGTAGTTAGTCTTTATGAAGTTTTGAACGCAATGCTGACAAAAATAAATGAAAGTGACACTGGTAACATAAGTGAAGCAAAAGTTGTTGAACTTCTTTCACAAAAAGCAGATAAAAACCACGTTCATTATATAACTTCAGACGAACAGATTATAACGGACTACCATGGATATTTAACACGAAGTGATGAAGCGAAGACAAAAAATGTTAATGAAAGAAGATATAAATACATTCGTGCTAAAGGTTATGACATAAGCTGTACTGTACAGTATGATGTAGCTAAAGCACCAGAAGCATTTGGTTATACCGGTGAAATTTATGCCTCTACTTTCAATGTTAACGGTGTATTAGTTGAACCAAGATTTACATTGAGAGTTAAGGCAAAAATAACTTTTGAAGATGCTATTAAAAGTAAAGCTGACAAAGTTGAACTCGAAGCAATGAACAAAGTTTTGAAATCTCATAAACACAACATCTCCGATATAAATGAACTTCTTCTGAAAGCAGATGTTGACAACAAAGCTGACAAAGAATATGTAGACGATGCAATAGCAAAAGAAGAAGAAAGAGCTAACAATGCTTATGCAACAAAAGAACATACTCATCCTGAACTAGCAGACAAAACATATGTTGACAATAAAATGTCAAGTGAAGTGACAAGAGCTGAAAACGAATATTCTAAAAAGACTCATATACATTATATTAACCAAATACCAAGTCTTAAGGAAACATTAGAGACAAAAGCAGATAAGACTCATACACATACCATTGCAAATATTACAAACTTACAAGAAACCTTAAACAGGAAAAGTGACGTTGGACATACACATACCATTGCAAATATTACAAACTTACAAGAAACCTTAAACAGGAAAAGTGACGTTGGACATACACATACCATTGCAAATATTACAAACTTACAAGAAACCTTAAACAGGAAAAGTGACGTTGGACATACACATTCTATATCTGAAATAACAGACTTAAACGTTAGCCTTGAAAAGAAAGCAGATAAAACATATGTCAATGAAATATACCAAAGTTTGATAGGAACAACAAAAAATATTGAAACTATTGTTGTGACTTTTCTGTCAATGAAGAAAATAAATATTTTAGATGGCAGTTTGTACAGTCCTTAAAAAATGGTACACGGTGTAAACTCATTCCGAAAAATAACAATGAAATGTATGTAAGCTATAAAAAGAATGATGGTACACAAGTTAAAGTTCCATTAGACAACAACTGCTACTTAAACTTATATGGAGACGAACAAAGAAATATTTAAGAGTTTATGAAATGGCAGATATGACATTGCCTGACCCAGCTCCAGCACCACATTATTATGACTATGGAGATGACGACAGAACACCACATGTAGATGAACAAAAGCTAACATTATATTTAGATTATTATAGATATAAAAGATATAATGCAATAGAAAAAACGAGAATAGTATATTATTATACAGATGACAGAAATAAATATTATAGTCAAGATTTTACCTACCCTGAAAACATAAGATTATATTATAAAAAATATTCTGACACAAACCAGAAGAAACCTGAAATAGTTGCACTATATTTTAAGTTCAAAAGAGACAATCCTATAATATCTCATATGTTTGATTTAATGAACCCAGTAGGTTCTATTTATACATCTATGGATGCAAGAGGTCCTCAAGTAATGTTTGGTGTTGGTGCATGGGAACAAATAGTCGACAGGTTTTTGTATTGTGCAAACTCTTCAAAGGAAACAGGTGGAAGTAAAACGATTTCAGGTGAAAATTTACCTGCACACAGTCACTACATAGATTTAAGTACATCTCAAGCAGGTTGGCATAAGCATAGATATTGGGATTGGTCAGGAATGACAAAAGGTAAAGGATATGATGTTAAAGACGAGGTTAAGTTTGCTATAAATTGTTACTGGAATAACACGCAGGGAGAAGGAAACCATACACATTTCGTTTCAGGATATACGCAAACAACGGGACAAAGTAAAGAATACATGCCACCTTACATGACAGTTTACGCATGGTATAGAGTTCAATGAACGCGTTGAGCCTAGAATAAAATCTTTAACTTTACATAAATGAGCTTGAAAGAAGTATTCGAACAACATCCATGGAGGTCATTTAAGAAGTTCAATGAAGCTGCAAAGAGTTGGGGATTTACTAACAGAGCTGAAGTGAAAAGGTTCTTTGACAAAAATGTTGTACATCAAACAAAAATAAACCCTTACGACTACTTTTTACCAATTTACTCCAACACTCCTGACGCATACCAATTTGACACTCTCATTCAAAGCAGAAAAGGAGGTCATAAACCATTTTTGATTTTCATTAATGTTAACACTCGTAAAGCATATGCATATCCAATGAAAAATAAAGGAACTCGTGAAGTGTTAAGAGTTTTACAAAAGTTTGTAGCAGAACATAGCCCAAGTACTTTAACATCAGACCAAGACAGTGCATACCTCAGCAATGAAATCGCATATTTTCTCATTAAGCATAACATAACTCACTACACTACTGAAGACCATAACCATAACATACTCGGCATCATAAACCGCTTCATAAGAACGCTCAGAGATTTAAATCAAGAGCGAGACTTTACCGAAGAAACAATGAAACACTTTCTCGAAGTATATAATTCCTCAACACATTCTACAACAGGACATACACCAAATTCAATGACACAACAACAAGAAGAAAAGTATAGGGTGTCCAAAGGTGTGTTTAGCACAAACCTGAATACTGCGAATAGAAATAAACAAGTTACATATATATAAAGTTTATTTAAATATAATCACCATTGGATTCAATCACGCGTTCGCAGCGATCGATCCAGGCTTGAAAGACACGCTTTAAATCATCATGAGAAAATTGCTCAAATTGCTCTCTTACAAAATTTTCAAGATCATCTGGACTCGCGAATTCGCGTCCTTCAGCTCTCTTTTTTTAGCGTGCCGAATAAATAAAAGTCAGAGGGTGCAATATCAGGTGAATAAATTGGGTTTGGAACAACTTTGACATTGTTTTCCACCAAGTAATTCATTACCTTATGACTTTTGTGAACTCTTGAATTATCAAAATGAATTGCAAACTTTTGTTTTTGTTGTTTGGATTTCTCAAACTCATCAGAATTGATAATTTGAGTAAGAACATTGTCAATTAGATACTGAGCATTCATCGTATTAGGTTTTTGAAGAATATCAATTGCGATGATGCCATTCACGCCCCAAAAAACCGACAACATCATCATTGGTGTGTCAATTTTTTTCTTCGGGAATGTTTGCGGATTTTCATCCTTCGGGATCCACATGATTTTGGCTTCTGTTGCATATTGAAACCAAGACTCGTCCCCTGTTACTAAAAAGCGAAACTTCTTGGATTGATACGCACCCAATATAGAGAGGAGCTCTTTCGAAGATTGGACTCTAGATTTTTTTTGAACTGAATTAAGGTTGTGCGGAACCCAACGTGTATACGCTAGTTTGTAGTTCAAATAATTGTGCAGATAATAACTGACTGTTGTACGTGGTATCTTTGTCATCTCCTCTATCCTTCTGAGTGATGCTCTTGGGTCTTCATCTAGCGCTTGAAGAATTGCTTTGATTTTTCTTTGATCCGGCGATTTTTTGTCAATTTTTATGATGGGCGCCTTTTTGTTCATGAAGTGATACATCCTAACATGATACGTTACAGTGGAATAGCTAGGAGCATCCATACCGAAGCATTTTACCAATGTCTCGTAGACTTTTTTACAGTCTTTGCATTTTTTTGCAAGAGCGAGGATGTTTTCTTTATGATTCATTAAAAAAATGAAAAAAATCCCGCCAAAATTTCCCGCGAAACCACCTCTTGTCTCAAAATTTATTTTATATCCCGGCATGGCGCCAAAATACAACATACTCATCATATACATATATTCATATTTTTTATTATATATTTATAATCAGCATATATCTCCTTTAATAGTCTCATATAGAGCGCTGTGCTAAACGCACCTTTGGACACCCTATATATACAAAAGAAACGAAGTCAAACACAAAATATCAGAAATTCAACACAATTTACCCTCATTCCTGGTACAAAAGTTCGTGTAGTTCTTGACGACAAACCGTTGACAAAGAAACGTTTAAGGTTAAGTAGAAACTATTATATCGTAGACTCTACGCAAGGTAATGGATATCTTATAAAAGCTGCTGACGACTCTATTGCGTTTTACCCTCGTCACAAATTAGTCGAAAGTAGTAATGGCAAACTTGCTGAAACCATTGACGAAGCAAAGCGAGGAGTGGTTATTGAAATACTTGGCTACAACATAAACGATGACACTTATAAAGTAAGATATGAAGGAGGCGTTGAAGATGTTATACCATCTAAGAACTTGAGAGAGTCAAAGTCAACACATCTGGGACCATTAGAGCGGGAGTACTGGAAAGACAAAAATATGCCAGAAAGAATAAGAAAATTCTTCTAAACTTTTTCATTAGATGTAAATCAGACATGAATGAGAACAGTCATGATATCATTAATGGTACCATTTATTTTTGTCATAAATTTACACCAAAAATATATTTTAGGTGAAGAGGTGAGATCTCACCCGTTTTCTCACCTGTTTTCTCACCCTCACGAATTTTCATGAATTTCCTTAAGATAGAAAAATCAAGTTAGTTTTAAAATTATTTATTTTTTTATTTTGTATAAAAGATATGATTTCAACAATCGGCACAACAACAATTCAAGCCACGAACGGCGGGACTCTGTCCACAACTACAGCACCAAACTCGCTAGTCATGAATCCTACGTCAATGTTGGTAGAGATGAAAAGCTTTATTCCTTCTTCATATACTTTTGAAACAGAAATCCAGAAGATAAAGCAAGAACTTTTAACAAGTAATTTAGACTGTAGTGCGAAAGATGAAACAAATGAACAGTATCTTTATGAAATGGAGGACCTCATCGACCATTTGCCTAAACTACCTGAAATTCAGCAGCAAAAACTAACTATTCCTGAATTCGACGAAATTGAAGTCAAAGCAACTGACTCAGTAGAAATTAAGAAATTCATACGTAAAGTAAATTATGAATTCCTTGGTTTTCATTGCAACCATAAAGTTATGGACAAAGATTGCGACATGGTTTATAAAAATATTTCTGACCTTTACAAATCCGAAGAATTTAAGACATACGATAACTTTGTTTCATTAGTTGCAAAATGTGTATGGCAGATAAGAGATAAAGATAGAAGAGGTAAAGTATGGAATGAACAGATAAAACCAGCAGCTTTTGAGTTAAAGAAAACCATTGACGCCTTAGTTGTTCTAGCTGGTTTTATTTCAATGTATAACGCAAAAACGATGCCGCAATGTTCAAAATGTAAAGCAGCAATAAGAAAATATAACTACTCAGTCAAAGAGATAGAACGAATGAGAAACGACTATGCAGACTTAAAGAAAGAAGCAGAAAAACCAGCAGAAGATAAAATGGATATGTTGACATTTCTTAATAAAAACTATCCAACAGCAGAAGATTTCCTTCTGTCTGACGTCAAGAAGAAATATAAAGAAACCTTCGGCATTGTTAAAACTTTTGATGTACTAAAAGAAGAAATAGAAGCTACAAAATTGTTTAGGATTTCAAATATACATCGTATATTTCATGTAAAACGCTTGTGAAAAAAGAGGTGAAAAAACAGGTGAGATCTCACCTCTTCAACTCAACATTATTTTTATTGAATTCAGCACAAAAATAATGAATTTCATTAGTTATTTTGTATGTAAAGACCGTAATGTCAAACATTGAGTTTGAAACAGTTAGAAAGATAGACAATGACACCAAAGTGGTTAGAATAGGTGATTTAAACGTAAGATACTCAAAGAAATACAATAAATATTCTTTGTCAGACATTATATCTCCATCTGGAAAGAAAACAAACGACTGGGTTAGAAATGCTTCAACTCAGAAAATTTTGACAAGAAATCCTGAGCTTATGATATCAGTAGCATTTCATGGAACAAGAGCATATCTTATAGACAAAAGTCTTATACCAATAGTTTTGTTATGATTAGACCCAGTTGTTGGATATAACTTCATAACATATGGTTCATTCGATACGGAACGTTGCAGTGAAGGCTTACTTTACATCGTCAGAAACCGAAGGACTTCAACACAAAAAGATATAAGATAGGAAGGACATATAATATAACTCAAAGATATGACAGTACAGTCAATAGAGTCAAGGTTGTGTTTGTTAATGATATGAGAGCTGCTGAAACAGAACTGCTTGAAGTTTTTGAGAAAATGTATGGTGCTCCCACGAAAGGTAAAGAAACGTTTGAAGTAGATGAGATAGATAAAGCTATAAAATTATTTGACGAAGTTGCTGAAAAATACATGTAAAGCGTTTATTTTTGGTCTTTTGTGAAAGTCAGAAAATAAAGTTAGTTTTATTTTTATTTATTTTTTTATTTTGTATGTAAAGACAGTAATGACAACATCAGAGAACACAACAACAGTTATAGTCCATGAAGCCATAAATGAAGAATACGAATACATACAGTATAACAAACAGTTACGTCTCATTCGTTCAGTCAAAGATGACATGTACCAAATGCAAAGTATAATGAATGCTCTTCGTTCTACAAAGCAAGCATATCATTGGTTTGAAAACCAACAGACAAAAGAACTTTTAGAAGAATTTCCTCATATGATTGCTTCCCTCGGAATACCGAGAGAAGAGATTCCGTACGAAAATCGCAAGAATTTGGCTCCTGGTTTGAAAGGTTATTATGTTCATAGACTTTTAGTAAACGCTGTAGCAATGTGGGCTTCACCTCGTTATGCTTGTTATATTTTCATGATGTTAGATGAACTATATAAAGCAGAACGTGGAGAGATGGAAAAGAAACTTCAAGCAAAAGATGAAGTTATTGAATCCAAAGACAAAAGCATACAGAAAAGAATACCGCGTTCGGTACCAAAAGGAAAGGAAAAGAGTTATAAGTATATGATATATACTGAAGAGTTGGAGAAAGAAGAAGATAAAGATGTGGTTATGTTGCATTTAGTCAGAAGAAACAACAAGAGCTTTTATGACTGCGCTAAAATATATAAATCTGACAGAAACTGGTTCTATCGTGAAAACTTACCGATTTCAATGACACCGAATGAGCAAATAAAGGAAATTGTCAAAAATACTCTTCCTCAAACACACTATGACATCAAAGGTTGCACAATACTTACATTCAAAGAAGACTTAACATTACTGAAGGAAAAAATAACAGAATATTTCGATAACTTCAAAGAGGAAGAATAAAAAAAATCTAAGCTAATTTTATTTTTTTTATAAAATTTTATCTCATATGAAAGAACATGAATTTAGAATATTCGGAACTCATGACAGAAGAAGAGAACGAACAACATGTAAAGATTATGCAAAATTTCTGAAGACATACAAAGCATTTAAACAATATCTAAATGCTTCTAAAGATTATGCAAAATTTCTGAAGGTATATAAAGCTTATGAAAAAGCGTATGAAAAGTTTATACATTGGGGAATTGTTGTAAAATATCGATATGAAGACTAACCAAAAATATATTTTTTGCTTAAATAGCTTCAGGGTCTATTTCTTCAACCATTTCACTTCCTTCGTCAATGTCAATAGAAGCTTCTTCAACCTTTGGTAAGAATTTCTGTATAACATCTTTGTTCGTTATTGTCTTCAGAGATGAAGGATAATATTTCACAGATGTTTCACCCTTCTTATATTCTTTCTGTTCGGAAAGATTTAAAGCAATACTGAAGAAGTCAATGTTAGAGTTCTTTATGACAGTATAATGAGTATCTTTGACATTCACGAAGAAACTCTTTTGTTTCAAACTACTGCTAACTCTTGTGAAGTATAACGTTTGCGGTCAATGACGATAGCTAATGGTCTGACATACTGACCAAACTTAGATTCTTTCACAAACTCTTGTTAAAGATAACATTAACATTTGAAGCATTATTGAACTCATTCTTGATGGCAGTAGCGAGAGCATTGTATGAAAAGAACTTGCAATCTTGCATGTGTTTCATTAAAATAAAAATATTAAATTATTTTGAAAAATAACTTTAAAAAATCTAATCTAATTTTTTCAAAAAATATTTTTTATTTCCTACTAAAGATGTATCGGAAGTTGTCTAAGTTAGAACACTCGGAAATAAAACAACTTCTTACAGAAGCTAACATAGAAGTAGCAAAACATTACGCAACAAACAAAAAAGCACTCGCTGACTTCATTAAAGACTATAATGGTGCAATAAGTTATGATAGAATTCATGAGTTCATAAAGCCGCAACGCGGTGAGGACGAAGTCCATGCAAGAGCATTTCCTTTAAATGACGTTGCTATTGACTTATATCATAGACGTTCAGTACCTCATGAAGTAAGAAGAGAAATGTTTGACATAACAAATGCAAACGTTGGTGAAACAAGAAGAAGAGACGACACACTGAAACAACAGAGAAGAGAGATGTTTAAGAGCGCTATAGAACAAGTTCGCAAAGCTAACGATGTCATTCGTTCCATTGACGACAAACCAAAAGAAGGTGAGAGATGGTTAAAGAAAGATGAAGAGAATAGGAAGAGAAATGTGAAGTCAGGCAATAGACTCATTGACTTTAACATCGAAGCTTTAGATGAACCAAACAGAGACTACTTACACAAACATTTCGGTAAGGTTTTCATGAGACTCTTAGAGAAGATTAAAATAAACTCCCAACAAAGATGGATGGTATGTTATAAACTTGGTGGAAAGTATGAATGTTCTACGTTAAACCTCAATAATATGGAACATTACTACATCAGCTCTTGAAGGAGAACTTTATATCAGAGATAGAAGCAAATGCTGCAGGTATTGTTGAAATGCACTATGACTTCTTCTTGACAAACATAAAGAATCTTACTGAAATAAAGATGTATGATTTAACAGAATATGAAGGCTTAACGATGTCAGATGTAAAGAAGGCAAACCAAAAAAGAGACCATATAGAGATGAAAGCACACTGACAAATGACCAGAAAGCCATTTTGGAAGCTCTTAAGCAAACAGGAAACCCAGCACTTATAGAAAGCTTTTGGAAAGATAATGGTGAAAAGAAGTTTTATAAGAAGAGAAGCGGTCAGTTCTGGAAGTATCTTTGCACATTACCTATAAATCTTGAGCGCTACCAAATCTTCAATGAACTGAACAAAAGAACTGCACACTTATGACAGAAGACTTGTTTCGTATGCTTGCATTCAGGCTGGAGTAGATGGAGAGACTATTGACCACATGAGAGAAGTCATTCGTGTTAGAGACTTTCCTCAAAGTAAAGTACAAGAAATTTCTGACGCAACAGGTATAGCATTTAATGTTACCATTGGTTACTTCAATGACTCAAGATATAATGAAATAACGAGATACATACCAAAAGAATGTGAAACTGTTCGAACTATTGACTTACTTCTTGTTGAAGACCACTACATGCTAAATGAAAGATTACAAATGACAACATATTTCATTCGCAACTATATAGAAATTCTCAAAGCTTGTGGTGGAATGAACATTGAGAAACAGATGAAGATTTAACAAAGAGAGAGAACAAATACATCCTAACCCTACTTGTTTGAAGTACAAATACTGACGTCCATATTTTCTTCTCACGATATTTCATGAAGAGTTTTAGAGGGAAGAACCCAGAAAAAAGTCGTCCTCAGCTGTTTCCGCTTAACCCACACTGTTTTCGTACGCGAATCTCTCTCTCCGGTTTCTCCGAGGAAGCAAAGCATAATGCCATTTTTTGACGAAGTTGAAGGTTTGCACTTGCGTCAAAAAAAAATCCTGAAATGCA